GACAACAACAGTCGAACATCCCGTAATAGACCGAGGTTGCCCATCTCTGAAACAGGCACTAAAAATGACGACGTAGTTGGTTGTCCTCGTGAGAACCCTTCACCTAAGAAGCATTTTGAAAGCAGAAAAGGTTTGCCAGTTTCCGATTTTTCTACGTCGCAAACATAGCATTACCTTTTCATAGGAAACTTCTACCGGAAGGCGACGAACTTTGCCGGTCCTTTCTTTCGAAATACTTACTCAGGTAAGGGTACAGGAATTGCCTTGATGGATAAACCTGATTACATTGATAGGGTGAACACCATCCACTCAGACGGGTCCAAATTTAAGAAAATACAAACTGAGAAAACTGAAATAGCATTGTAAAGATGCGAAACGTGTTCAAACACGCTGGCTTGTCCAGAATGTTTACTTGACTGATCTAAAAGGTGACGCAGTGCTGATATCCTGAGGTCAACCTGATTCGTGAGTGCAGTGATACCCAGGCCTGAGTTTGACTCGATACAGAGTAACCACGTAGCAAAGAGTACCCTGGAAGAGTAAACTATTCACAATCACTTGAAGACAGCTGATTGTGAACGTTCCTGACTTTTTTTAGGCAGCGCAGAATGGACTGTACTGTGGCTGATTCAGGACCGTTGTCTATTGAATATGCTGTGTCAGGTAATGTAGGATCGCATGCAACGCCATGACGTAACAATTCCTGTGCAAATTTAGTGAACCCTGGTAGCAATACAGGTGTACAGCACCATTTCTGAATAGAAATTTAACAGTGCCGTTGTGTTGTTGATGACGAAGATTATGAACGCTAACGGTTTATTGTTATATGAGCAACCGATAAGGAAGCGTTGTTCTTATAGGGAAATGAAGAAAGGAGGCCTAGCATGAGCCTGTCAAAGCGAAGCCAAGGTACATATGCTTCCAAAAACTCACGAAAGACTGACGAGGAAACGACCGGTGACATCGATTTTTAATAAGAACCCGGAACATGATGAGCTACACACGAAATTGATCATGAAGGCCAGTCGATAAAAGGTGGGTCGGACAACAACAGTCGAACATCCCGTAATAGACCGAGGTTGCCCATCTCTGAAACAGGCACTAAAAATGACGACGTAGTTGGTTGTCCTCGTGAGAACCCTTCACCTAAGAAGCATTTTGAAAGCAGAAAAGGTTTGCCAGTTTCCGATTTTTCTACGTCGCAAACATAGCATTACCTTTTCATAGGAAACTTCTACCGGAAGGCGACGAACTTTGCCGGTCCTTTCTTTCGAAATACTTACTCAGGTAAGGGTACAGGAATTGCCTTGATGGATAAACCTGATTACATTGATAGGGTGAACACCATCCACTCAGACGGGTCCAAATTTAAGAAAATACAAACTGAGAAAGACGAAAGGCAGGTGATTTAAAAAGCAACGCCCAAAATGTGACACGTCAAACCATCCGGAAGCATTGATGATACTTCTGAGTGTATTCGTCCTGCCAGCATAATGATTCCTCAGCTGCACGGTCTCCCAAAAGTTTTCAGACAAATTTCATCTCCCAGGCCTTGGATAAATAGCTCTTCATCAATTAGAGGGGAAGCATAGACACAGCCTGAGAGATAGTATGGAGATATGGAGGTTTACAGAAATTCTACATTTTCCCTGGACGTCGTGCCGTTGTTTGCCAACGTACCATTCATTGAGACAACGGACTACGTTTGTGAGTTGACTAGCTGCACCAGCAAAGATATTGGCATTCCAATTCTGGACCTTTATAAACTAATTCTGTTTGTATTTACAATATTCAACTCAAATTCGGGAATCGAATTTACCGGCAGAAAGTGCGGGATCAGGACGGGGTCTCCCTTAGGGTAGATATTAGGATAGGATAGATATTTTCATGACCAAACTTGGCACTCGAAAACTAAGCGCAATTCATAGAGTAATACACTACTCATAAGGTTGCTGGAAATTCTTCGACAGTCCACGACCAGTTTCGCCCTTCTTGGGGCTCATCAGGTAGGCGCAGTCCCCGAGTTTCCGTCAACCTCATGTTCTGCTTCAACCCAAAGTGCACAAAGTCCAACTTGTACACCCATCTGCGTATCAATTTGATTACTTACAGGCATGCTCGAAGACTGTAGGTCCCGCAGCGCGAGTTTGTGCTTTGAGAGCACAGCAAGTGCCGAAGAGCAGGATAACCTGGGTCAGTCTTTTCAGTAATGCTTCCGCTTCCCGCTCCTTTTAAAAAATGACGAAAATGTTTGCATATTCCAGATCTGCGATATTCTCGCTCGGCGAGTTCCGAACATCACTCTGTACGTGAGCATCTGCAGCATAAGAGTTCAGTTTCAGCCCAGTTTATCAGCTACAAATTCTGCTGCGCAAGTGTGTGCGAAAGAACAAACCGATCTAAAGAACTGAACGGATTCTTGTAATCAAGCGTCACCAAGATTGTATGGTGTCTGTATGCATGCTACTGCTACAATGTTTGACGGATTGTGAAGATCCGGTTTACACGGCCCCGTAAAACCCAGAATCTGACTTGCCGTTTTAAGAAGCCCTAAAATGGGCAATACATACGGTGAACAATGCTGCAATGCGCTCCATATCACTATACGTGTCAGAAACCTGGCCGCTGCGCGCCGAAGACGTCAAGAAACCATAGATTTTCTCGGAGCATTGCCCGAGTCCGGAGGAAACAACGGATCAGTAATGAAGTAGGTCGACTGGTTTTCGGAAGAGATAACTTACCCACGATAGATGAACTGATTAAACCCCATAGATTGCACTGCCTTGACCACGTGCTACTCAGCCAACTTCCTCTAAGGGCTCTTTTCGCACAACCACATGAAGGGTGGAAACGAGCCAGGGGAGCTCGAACAATGACCTGGCAACGAAGCATGAAAGCCATTATACCAGCAAACTCAGCCGCGCTGACCATTGCCATCTCTCTGGATGGAGACACCGGGACGGGATGTATAAATGGTTGGAGCAACTGTCAAACATGGCCCAGTCGCGCCCTCAATGGCATCCAAGCGATTGCCTTCAATGCATAGCTTCCCCTCCCAATTTGCCCAACTAAAAGTTCGCTGACAATAGTGTATTTACACATCAATCATATCAGCTACCGCCTCCAATACGCAGCTACCTACCCCATCTCCACAAATCATCGGTGAACGAAACTGTCAGCTAGAACTACTGTGCGGCAAGTACACGATCCTTACAGCCGACAGTGATGACGATGCTACACAATAAAACCAACTTACGTAGTACTACGTGCAAAGGGTCAATGTTTCAACCGGAATGCTTAAAAAGAGCCGAGTATCGGATTAACAAACCTAGAAACAAGAAGCGCCTTAGAGTCAGATCAACAACTGGAACTCAGAGGGATCAGGGACAAAGGTCACTCCAGTACCTGCCAGAGTACGAGAGCGGGGGAGGCCAAAATTAAAGGTCACATTGTCATCGATCAATCAGTAGGCAGGATAGCAACCAACTGAACTGCCCGATATAACAGCTAATTGAGATCGAAGGTCAACCCCGGGTAGGAGCATGTGTATTAATAGACACGCAACACTGCTCAACGCACAGTCAATGACGCATCACTAGGCTCCACTATGCGTTTTAACAGCGCACTGCTGATGCCACCTGGCTTTGTAACCAAATTGCCCAGCTCAGCGAAAAAACCAGCGGCCAGTTACAAAGTTGTTCTTCAGTCGAGTACGAGTGTGCGAGAGTTCTATGTACAAATAAGTCAGAAAACCTACCGGACGTAGTCAACATATGTTGGAGAACTGTAACCATTCAGGTACACAAACAGCTGTGGTAGGATGATTCCTTTTGTGATCGTAGCGATTAGCAAAATCGAAAATATACTACTACAAGTAGCACAAACAAAGCACTTTGAAACGGAACCCCGGCAGCGAGCGGAAGACTCCGACATAAAGGCAGACCAAGATAGTGAAAAGTAGGGAAAAACATGTAGAAACAGTGCACTATGAAGGATGCGTGGACAGTAGGGGATTTGGAGAGTTCAAGAAATCCAGAAGGTCTGATCCAGACTAGGATGATTTTTGCATCAGTTTCCAAGTGAAGAATTAATCACTAAATGCTGCCACAGAAGTTTACCGAGAAGCATGAAACCTGGAATGTTGGGAAGTGCACGTCCTTATGTCGTTGAAAGCCACCAAATGAACAACTAATACTGCTACGGCCACTCTAATGACCTAAAAACGTAATCTCTAGGCTGTAAAACGAGGTTTGGTCTACTGGTCAAACGATTAAGAGACGAGGTTGGATGACAAATTTCGTTTGCCAAACACAAGAAACCAGGCAGAAGGAATAAGACAGAAAAGAGTTTTATGGCCGCAATGGAATCCAACATACTCAAGTAGGATGAGGCAATCACTCAAGTCAGAAGCATCGTCCTAAAGTTATATAAAAGCGGTGATAAATAACTTCATATGACGACTATCTGATTTGACATCCAAGCACCAAGATGGTTGAATAGGTGTCCAGCCACTATTATATAACCAAGTCAGAGAGAATGCAGAGGAAAGTGTTACCTAGCCCATTTAACTTCAGAAACGGAAGATATTGATTGACATAACATACCATAGCCGAATGATACACGAACTCTTAATAGAAAGAAAACTTGCGGTACGCTGTTGCAGTACGTGTGAAGGAGGCTCTGAGTCGAAAAGTAGGGTTTGGTGTGGGGTGACCGACGAAGGAACCATGCTTTATCTCTGTCTTAAAGTGCCTTTTCGACGAAAAGTGAACCGTAGTCACAAAACAAATGTATCTGTTTCACAAAATCGTTGTGTTGTGTCCGTCCTTCAGGCAATCAAAACCGCTAAATGCAATTTAGAAAACTACGTACCCCAAACGACTGGAAGGTTTATTATAACCTTTCCAAGGCTCAGTTGAAATGCTAACTTTTTTATTGTTTACAGCGTTCAAAATACGGGACACATGCTGCAAGATTGGTAACATTATAGAACTACTCACACGTGTGTCCTCATCTATCATAGGGTCCGGCGCCAGTGCAGACGAATAGTCACCCGCACCTTCTGCTTCATGCCTCGACCAGGTCTGCAGATCCACGCTCTCATCAGAATCGACGTTCGCTCCACTTTCATCTCCTTCCTCGGGCTCGCTTTGATCTCCTTCCACCCCGGAGCTGTTGACACCTTCCTCGTCTACTTCGTATTCCTCATAATCGGTAGTAGTCAGTCTGTGAGGACCAGCTTGACTGGAGCCCTGGTCAGGTGTATGGGGGCTCAAGAGTGGGGAGTGAATATCGGTGCCAGGACTTGTGTGACTAGCCGGCAACTGACTTATCCGACTTGCTACCATCGAAAGAAAGAGAAAAAGAAGTGAAGTAAAAGCAATGAGGCATCGGGGTTGATCGCTGATGTCATGCTGTCGATGATGGTGATGATGAACTTTTTCCATTTGGGTACAAGTAACCAGTTGGACTCAGAACTATCTATCAAACACGAAGCAAGCGTCTAGTGGTTCGGTGTTGATTAGCAGTTTTCCATCTCTGAATCATGGACGAAGGGTACAGTGTTCAGCTTTAACCAGAAGGTTGTGCGTTTGAATCTAATAGGAAGTTCGTGAGATGAACCGGATGTTCAGAGCTTCTCGGCTTCCAGGTATAAGTTGTGTCCACCAAGTTCTTCAATGCTCTAACTGGGGACACCCAAAGACTAGGAGGATCCGGATCAAAGCGTATGGAAAGCACATACGCAGGTGCCACGGAGGTTGCATCCTCGAACAATGAGTTGAGGGAATAATATATCAATAGGACAGTATTCTATCCATATTGCTCAGCGGACAAACGGTTGTTCCTCTGGATTATTCGACAATCGGACTATCTCCCATACAGTTTTATCATGTCCTTTTGAAAATTATGTGGTCCATAATGACGAAGCGTTTATACAGTGGCAACAGGAACTGACCACAGGAATCATGGATTCATAAAAGAAACGTGGAAACGAAACTGCTGCAGAATCTACTGGACAATAAGTTACGAAGTAAGGTGTGAGTAACATGCTCCGTCTAACCAAGAAACCAAGCTATTAGGAGTAAAGCGTGTTGCCTTGTTGGCGTTCCGCAAACGATACAACCCTCATGTAGGGATCACAGAAGTTCACCAAGTTCACTCCAACGGGATCCTCAGTACTGCAGAAGACTGTCGTGAAACCTATAATAGGTTCATTTGAGGAGCAGGGTGCATCGATGCACCCCAGTCATCTTTTAAACATGGATTACTTCACTAGTGTGCACAAAAAACTACACCCGAAGTCATACTTTACTCCCCATATTTCTCGAGTTTTCGAGTGTTGGCCATCGGTGTCTTTGAATGCCGTTTCGTATGTACCGGTGATTATGCATACATGATAATGACATGCGAATGGGGATGCGCAAATGAATAAATCGGATTCGACTGGTGAATCGCTCATAGTATGCGTTAAACATATCGTTCAAACTAGTTTTGGTAAAGGGCCACAAATGTCACCCAAACAATCAGAGTTATCAAACGGGTGCATCATAGCAGTCGGAAGTCTGGTACTCCAACATACGACTAAAGCTCAGATACCAAAAGCACATGCATGACGCCACCAGGACTCACTGGATACACTGCATTCGAAGCACTGTAAATGCATACCTTTTGCCCAGGTGAAACGTTCTATTGAAGCCTCCATACTTTCGTCATCCGTGACCCATGGTTGGCTTCTGATATCATCATCAGTCGCTTCAACCTTAGCCCTCTTAGCCGCTCGGTTAGGACCCGCATCACCATCGCTGCCATCTGTCTCATCACCATCAGCATCATCGTCGTCATCATATTCCAGGTCCACCCCATACCACGTTCCGGATGATCGTCGTCTAAGATTTCGTCCCCCACTCGTAGAAGCAGTTGGCTGTGCTTGGTTTTCATCCTTGTCTTCTTTTATCGTGGACAGGGAAGCAAGCCTTGCGGCATGCTGTTCTGTCGCATCCTCCGCGTGGCGCTTTGTCGATTTACGCGACAATACAGAGGGGATACGGGAGGACTGTTGGATGGATTTCGGTGCAGCAGCAGAACTCACGTCGGCAGACTCCCTAAGTATCGAATGCGACTCAGACAGGGCAGGTTCAGACTCCATGTGTCTAAGTAGGTAATTAGAGAAATAAGCAGGATAGACAGCGTTCAGAAGGTGGAGTGTATACGGGAACAGCATGTTAATGAACAGAGCTTTTATGCGCAGTCTATGTGAAGTTTTGGACGATCAGGAACGTAGAACGGAGTGTGCATTACAAGCACTCTCTGAAATGTCCCACAAGAACCTCGTGCAAGAGCAGCCATTACTAAAGACATTCGGTTAATCATCTAACTAATAAAGAGGTCTACATGAATGGGGGAAGAAAGTGGTTGAAATTCCATATAACAGAACCATAGGTACATTATGGACGAAAAAACCAATGGAATGCTATGAAGCGGTCTCCTAAACGAAGCATATTGAATACTAAAAGCTTAGAACAACGTACTGGCTACCAGTGGATCTCATAACTATCATCGACAGCAGTACATCGGCCTAGTAAGGGTGAAAAGGGAGGAAAAAGGAGATTATTATAAGTAGCCTTGTGTTCCTATGGAAAGCGACCAAGAACAAAGTGTCAACACCTGGAAGTAGTAACGCATCTGAGCATCGCAGCGGAGTAGGGGATTGGCTTGAGGTCCTTTGCGAATGTCGCTTACCATGAGCCCACGACAGAGAAACTCCACTTAGGCAGTCCCACTGAGAAGGAACAGCATGACCTGTATTACGTGTCATGTACCGTAGGGTTTCTAAGTACGTGTGAGGAGAATCACGGGGCCCAAAAACAAGAAGGCGCGAAGATCCCATATCACTCAGTTTTACGGTAACCACCTTCATTTCCTGTTATCAATTACTGGCTTATTCCCTGTAGGCCCTTCGCGAACAAGAGTTCACAGCTAAAAACAGTGCATTCTTTGGTAAGCGGTTGTTAGGTATGTGTGGCGCATGCCCCAACCACTTTAAACTGACGAGTTTCACTTCATCTTCGAACACTCCCTTACGCGTCAGTCCACTGTGAACACGCCGCGGCCCGCTAATACCCACTATACTGTGAAGCTATCGGTCACCAAAAGTTTGAATCCATTTGATGTTCTCAGACCGAGGGGGGCAAGTTTTAAAACGATGGAGTAAGACTGGTTCAACAATTGTCTTGTACACACGGTCCATTAGCTTCGGTGAATTCCTCCTCTGACATCACAAATGACTCAAGTTCGCGCCTTGATAATGCGTGCAGTGATTTCTTTTGTCAAAATACAGTCACAGCTTATGCAGCTGCCAAGATAGGTAGACCGGCCAACAAACTCAAGTTTCTTTCTCTGAAGTCTCACGGGTGGGGGGGATCAAACCCCTGAGGCGGTCAGTACCTTAGACTTTGAAGGTTCAAAACGCATGCCGAAACCAAAGGCGACAGGCGAAATTCTACATGGATTAGTCTGTGCGGAGCGGTGGTAATCAAATAACTCAATTCTCCTGGTCTTTCTCTAAATGTAGTTTCCATGTCAAGAGAATCGACCCCTTGGAGTGTGCAATCCATGATGATGGCAAAAAGGTGGACGTTTCTTTTTGACCAAATATACGCGAAAAAATTGACCTGTCTACGGAGTCAAAGGCTACTTTGAAGTCAAGGAAAGCCGAAACCGCTGGCCGGCGGTGTATATATTCAAACACTTAACGTAATTTGGAGATGCGGTCAATGTACACGCTACGCGGACGGAACATTGCTGGCTACTCTCGGATTTGCATCTCATGTGTGGGGGTCAGGCGCCACAGTATTATGGAAACTGGTAGCCACGTTAATACAGGCGTAGGTTTTATGGTTGAAAAAGTCACTCCATGTACGTTTCTTGAGTAGAATTACGATGACTGATTGCAACAGTTGTCACGTTAGGGCAGAATACAAAGGTGCGTCACCGACTTTATGTCGCGCTGTTGGCCTGGCCTGGAAGTTCGATAGCATGTCAAGGCATAAGGGCATATCGGCAGTTCATCAACTTAGGGGATCTAAACACACGATCCACGGATTAAATGAAAGACAGATATAGAAGTCGATAGCCAATCCAACTGTTGTCGAAAATATTCTGCTCAGGATCAAGGTGCTAGTTCTTATTACATTTTAGACTTCCAACATTATCCTTAACTCACTAACAGACGGTGTCCTGGGTCGTTTCGCGGATTAGCTGGAACATCTTCCGTGCTTTGCCCGCTGCACCAGCCTCCTCAATTCTTTGGACTTCTTGGTTCCAACGAGACTCCCTATCCACAAATGTCGTTTGAGTTGGCCTCTGGTCGAATTATGTTGCAGTCCTGAAGCAATACACCAACTAGTATCACGATCATTCCGAGCTCTAGTGATTAGTGTGTGCACGCTCAGGAACACTGCATACTAGGTTTCCAGTGTCACGTACGGGAGTAGTTACCCCACCCCACTTATACTAATGTCACTTTTGATTCACATCCACAAATTTCGTTTAAGTTGATCTCTGGCCGAATTATGCTGCGGTTCCGAAGCAATACACCAACTTGTATCACAATCATACCGAGGTCTAGTGATTAGTGTGTGCACACTCAGGAACACTGCATACTAAGTTTTCAGTGTAACGTATGGGAGTAGTTACCTCATCCCACTTATACTAATGTCACTTTTGATTCACGACAGTAAGCTTTTGTCTGTGAATCAAAAAGATTTTCGACTGCCAAATGGGGAATTTGTTTCTCATGTTCACCTGGAGGATTCAGTAAAAACCTGCGTCGGAAGACGACATGGCCCAAATCAACATGTCTTCCAGAGTGGTCGGCATAATGAGCATTGGCAGCGATAGCTAATGGCCCCTTGGCTGATTTGGTTCCAAGAGTGTTTAGCTATAAGAGACACCAGTTCGCAAAACAGCGTCCACTGAGCCTCAACTCAATACTTCTAACGAACAAAGTCGCTCGTATTTATCATTATTCTTGAACCTAAATTAAACTTGCCATCAAATCATGCCTCGCAAGAGGTGAGGCTCCCTATTTGCTCATAGGAAAACACTGCTATTGGATTTATGTCTAAACTCTTTGTGGTGGATAACAGATTGGTTATTTCTCGATAAAAAGTGTCTTTCATGTAATCAGAACTACAATTGGTTGGGATGTAAGCAGAAACTACAAACGAATAACAGTTAGTTTCTTGGCTGATGCAAGTCTCTATGGAAGTGGACAGACAGAAGTACAACACGGAGGCGACCGTTTACAGGCATCCAATGAAGCAAGGTTTTTCAGCTACACCAACATCGGCGCAACCAGTTGTAACAAGTTAACAGTAAGTAAAAGTACGCAGTCGATGTCGTCTAGTCAAGAAAGGTGTCATAAGCCCAATTGTCGTACCTGGATCTTGTACTCAGGTTTTAGAAATGCAACAAAAGTTTGTCGACACAGTATCAAGAGCGTGCATAAGGCCAGGGCTCGGACACTAAATGCTGTAATGAAAACGGAACACAGGGCTTGATGAATGAAAGTGGAGCGTCAGATGTGAGTGGTGATTAGCAATATGTGAATTCCTCTGATGTGTACCGATTGGCCACGCGTAGGAGGAATCAGCAAATAAGACGTGAGGTGAGTTAAAAGATGAAAATGAAGAAAGATGTGAGGAGTCAGTAGTCGCATGTCCGCCCTACTGTATGCAGGTAATAAGGCACTCAGGCTGATATCATCATGCAACGGTTGAAGTGGTACGAAGAGACTTTTGCTTGCGCAATTCAACATTGTATATGAGCTCAGATACTGCCAAAGCTCCCAAACCTAGACAAGGGAACGACTATGGTTCAAAAGCCTAACCACAAAGCAGCGGTGACTGGTGCAAAACTACCAGGTAGCCTAACTGTTAAAGAACCAGCTGCCACACTTGTCTAACCTTCAGCCTGGGGGGGCCGGGAAACCGTTTATCAGACCAATCTGGCATGAGTAAATCTGTGAATGTCGCATGCGTGTGATCGAGTAGAGCGCAATGATGTGCACGGGGATTAGTTCCAGTCTCTCCACCATAGAGTGGAGGTGCAGTTGAGGAGCATACTGGGTATCCCGGATATTCGATCTCCATTTAAAGAATGGAAAAACTGGGAAGTCAACTTTTGAGACGATTCAAGCTCCATAATTTACCCTGAAGTTCTTTCCGAATTACACGCCTTGGTTGAAACATGCAGAGATATTCCACACCTTCAGAATAAAAACATATTTAATGGACGGATCTATATGGTTTGACGCAGTTCCGAGGACTCGAGTTTAAGTTTAAGAGTTTGAGAGTATGAAGCAAACATGGAGCAAAATACGAATACACTACAGGTTGGTGGGAATCTCAAGCAGCTGGGATCGTTCGGAGAAAGCATAGAGGGACTTGGTTAGATAACCTCTTTTTGATATCCGTTATGGTAATCCTTCTATAACGCCTTTCATGGAGGGTACAGTGCTTAAGAAACACGGTCAAAGAGAGCGCCCGTGGTTCACATACGTTGGGACAATAATGAACAATGAAGGCATCAACAACAATAACGATGTCTGACACGCCAGCTAGAGTGATCAATATAGGGTAGCCATAGTATTATGCCTTATGGATCCTATCCTAGGAGAGGTCAGAGTACAATTGAAGTCAGCCCATATGCTCTATGATACACGTAAGTTTAACTGGAACAGGAAGACAGACTCAGTACAGACCGACCTCAGAACCATAGCTGACGGAGGACACTGTTTTGGGCTCACCAAGGGAGTCTCCCAAATTTAGGGGAGGGGTTTGATGTTTTCTAATCTAGCCGGAATGGCACAGTCTTGATACTCTCGATCACCCGTCTTTCCAAAAAGTCCACATTATTTGGACAATGAACTAGAGCGGAAAATCTGAAATGTTACCCACTTGCGAATATTAAACTCAATCGTGTCCAAAGTTTCCACGTCCTGCTCTAGTCGAGCTCGTCCAGCCGCGAGCATGGCTTCAGCGATCTCTGTCAGAGGACTTTCCTGTCCATTGAAAATCACACAGTTGCTGTAGATTAACTCTGCTTGAGCGAAAAATTCTTGGCGTGAACGGAATCGGTTTTCTTTGACCATTTTCTCCAAAGTGGACAAATCCATGGGATTGCTGATTATTTTGTAGTACGACTGATCATGCCAAGGGTCAAGTGGACAACGTGAAACAGCACATTGTAAACAGTGAATATACGATATAACTATAATCAGTACTAAGAAGGCGTTACGACCTCAATGTGGTGTGTGAGAGATAATTTTCAATAAAACACTGGGTTCCAAATAAGTTTCATGAGGGAGGTTTACTCAAACTAACAGCAAATATGAGAATAGGAATGGCTGGTCGAAGTTCAAGGAGATCCTCAGTCAGCTCGAGATGGCTCAATGGTTCAGGCGCCAACTTACTGAACGGAAGGGCTGTGGTTCGGACCCGACATCACCATCTCGACTGCTCCTGTCTAGGCTTGAAAACCTGACAATATCCGGGCGCACGTGATTCCATAGGGTGGCATGGCAGCTAGGCTACAGCTGGACAATCGTTCGTTCCACGTCACCCGAAGGTTGCACGAGGGCTGGAATACTACCAGGTTGCCCAAACCTAGACAGGGTAAGTCGAGAGGCAGAGAACGGGTTCGAACCACGGACCTTCCGATTAGCAAATTCGCGCTCTAACCACTTGGGCTATCTCGTTCCGCTGGACAATAGTATGTGATGGTTCCGATTAGGACAAGTGTAATTCATTTGCTTGTCTTAGAGACGGAATCAAGTGCTTTTCTCTTAGAACATTTGCTGCCCCTATGGTTGTGAAAGGGCACTTTTGCGTCATGCAGTCCAACTAGTTTACATGAGGGTTACAACATAGCTTCCATGTATCTGGATGTCGCGGTGGGTTAGAAAAACCCTTTCAAACCATACATCGAATGAACGTCCAAAGAGAAAACAACGAACAGTACGATGAACTGTCCGGTGTCTGTCAGAAAAAACCCCCATCACTTCGAAATGGTGATTAGCATGGAAAACATCATTGAAACTTTTTTGGAAGTCTGCTGAGTGTGAGAGTTTGAGAGCTGAATCACGGGAATATATGTGTGGTCTCTATGGTGGATCAAAATACAAGCGAAGCCTTACTTATACGATTTTGCCACACCGGAGCCGCACTAGATATACAAGGAAGAATTTTCAGGTGAGCTTAGATGAACGTGTTCGTCGTTGGATACTCTAAAAGGAAGGCCATCCAATCCTATCTAGCGTAACTTTTGTGAGAATAAGGACATCGTTTCTTGTAAAAGTACCTGTTTGGGATCGAATTTGGCAAAAACCGTTCATTGCAATTTTACCGAAGTTTATCCGTCTGTTTTGGTGATACTGGATTCAGAGTTTCGCCCAGAGTAAGTCGCTGCTTAATGTGAACTCGGCCCTGTCCTCAGCAGACCACGACCCATTTGCGAGGATAGTTTAATCGCCATTACACGAAACTGCTGCAAATGTGACTGAAGATTATTTAACCATCGATATACTTCAAAATGAAGTTGACCGATAACTAGCTAAATGGAAGACCAAATGCCCTTTTCACCGAACTCGAGAATATGTTTATCCCCATCAAACCAGCGTTATTAATCGTTGATATCCACTCACTTCAGCCTGTCCAGGAAAGTTGCACGGCTAGTTTGCATGTGCATATGACATCACGAAAAACATTTGTTGCCAGGCTTTGGAGAAAGTAAAGGGAATCGCAAAGAAGAGGTGGTACGGTTTGTTCTTGTAAGCGGAACATCTTCAGGGCCTCCTATATCGGTGCGTGTAGCATTATTCTATCAGGATTTAGATCATGACAGTCAATCCACATCAATCTTTTTTTCACATGCAACCGTCAGTTGTCTTACCGGAAAGCGGCGTTTATCAACTGGTGTATGGAAAGGACGACTTCGCTCAACACCTCGCATCGCCTCGATGGCCTGTTGTAATAGGAAACTCAATCCAACCAGATCATCCTCATCCAGTAGGGGATTTACAAGCGACTCAAGACGCATCAGCTTGAGCTCTTTGTGGCAAAACTCTTCCATAACGTGTGAACACATCTTCATTGCAATCTCAGTGTAGGAACTGTAACGACCTGAAGAACACGGTGGACAAGAGAAAGTGTGGTTAGACCCACAGAGGACGGATGGCTAACAAAAATGGTGAGGATTCGTTAGGGTGAGGAACACAAAAGGGAGTATTGTAACTCAGGGTTGCATTTTTGTTCAACTACCTCTTAATATTCATGAACTTTCTGTGCTGCACTCGGGATATCTTAGAAAATAAGATCGACAGCAGCAAGTGTCAATTAATCAGCCAAAGGTCATCAACAAACAAATCATGGTTATAGGTTAGTTGATTGACACTAGGTTACGAAAACCGGTTGCTTGAGCTTATTTCCAGATGGTTTAGTAAGTGTAATTTATCCGGACAACCTATCGGATGCAGACCACGTGACATTACCAGTGCAACGGAGCCACATATCATAGTACTAAAATGATTGGTGCCTAATATCCATGTGTACATCTCAAGCGAATACCCATTCACTCGTAGCGCTCTCCTGTACTATGTAAGATAAACTCAAAATTCCATATGAATCAGCCCGTATTGCAAGAGTAATTCGGATGCACACCGAGTGGCCTTGTCACTGACTAACTGCTGTTTAAAGCTTTTCCGAGGCTAACCACAACGCAACCACGATGACCAAAGTCTCATTGATCCAGAAGCAGATAAAAAAGCATGGACTTGTTTCAGACGCTTACAGTATCAGACGTAGGTGTGGTGAAACATCTGGTTGAAACCCTAGGAAAATTTAAAAAACTCCGCGTACCATTAAAACTGAGTGAATTGTTGTAGATCAACCGAATGTCTGAGAGAAATTCCTCCCGCGTCGCATAGGTATTCTGGTTGATCTTCATTCGGATTTGTGAGAGGTCCATCGGGTTTGCAATTTGTGAGTAGTAGTTGGGAAAGTCCTTTTCCTTTACCGGATGCATGAAGATCTTGGAGCCGGGGATTTGTGTGAGACCCTAGGGTGAGGATAATAGACAATACGAGTGGAAATCGACTTAACGGTAAAAGCGATTTTAAAGGTTAGCGGAGAAGAGACGGGTTACTCACCTTGTAGATACCTTCGAAAACATGGTTCAACGCGACTCGAGGATCAATCCGACGGCGATTACCCCGATGCTTGATCGTGGTCGGAAAATCGTCTTCGTTAGTCCCAACACTAGCTCTGCGCCCACGCCCGACTCCTACCCTATTAGTCATGGCCCGACGATTGGCACAGGCTGACTGTACAACTGCAGCAGCCGCGTTCAGGCGATCCAACAACTGTCGACGGATTTTCAACTTCAAATTGCGGCGATTTTGTTCGCGAATGTACCGCGTCAAATTAGAGTGCAATTTTAATTTCGTACCTTCCACCTAAAAGAGAGCGAAAAACAGTGTAAGGGAAAAGGCACGCGACTGGAACCTGAGCACCGATCCGTTCTCAATTTTGATCACTTCGTAGTTAGATTAAAATACGAAAGGGTCAGTCAACAATCTAATTATAGTTCGGAAGCAGAAACAAAGGTCAAGTACCATCGGATGCCATGAAGCCGATGTTTGGCACCCTATAGGTAGCATAAAGCACCGCGACAATATTTAGAATACTTAGAAGAGTCCTGATATGAGAACGGACCACCTGTGCACTATTACGATCAAGTAGCGATGTTTGTTCCCCCTTCAGGCAATTTGAACTATCATGTACAGCTCAGACTATCACAAGAAACACTAAAACGAGATCGGCTTTCAGTGTACACAGTCCTTCAGGTGGCAGCTTACAACCAAGTCTTGGTGCGGCCGGGGTGTACTGGAAAAAGGTAGAGTACAACTGACCGAAAATAAACAACTGGTCCTGTAAACTTCAATTAAGTGTGGTGATCAATTGGGGCGAAAGCAACCTTGAAGTTCGTTTGAAGGTGTGACGCATAAGCAAGTTATTATGATGTGAAAGTGGACTGATTGTACCGAAATGGAAAACAAAAGATTGCGATCCATGCAGGGATCGTTTCAGGACGCACGTACTGTGATAGCCCCCCATAAAAGACCATCCTTGTGGGGACACTATAAATACGTGTTTTTCTTGGCTTCCCAGAAGGTAGTATCGCCAGCCTACCCACTTACTGCCGACAAGCTTTTGCAGTTAGGTGTTCTGGTGAAAACAAACATTTACACACTGGTAACGCTTATTGGAAAGTTGAGCAAACAACATCTGAAGACCATAAACTAGAAACCAGCATTTGCTGGCTCCGAGAATGACTGGAATGCGTGGATCGGTTGTGCATAGGTGATGCTTTCGTGCGGCACAAAGCGCCAACAATGTAAAAAGATTGGCAAACCAGCATGTAGGCCACGCAATCAGAAGTTCGGCTGCTTTTTTCCACAAGGAACAACAAACTGTAGATTCAGTCGATACAGAAATGATATTCTCTAATAAGAGGCGTAGGAGGAAAAAAGAACTAGAAATTTTTAGAAAATAGTCCCCGTGAACCAGGAATGAGTGGAAGTATGCACTCACATCAGTGGCTACATACACTGAAGTGCTTGAAGGCAGGTAGTACGACATTTAACATACATATGAGATGTTCCACTTACCGTCATATCGTTCTCGCCAAATCCCGGGGCCTGACCTGTCGAGGAATCAAGCTCTTTCTCAGCTTGTAGTTTCGCCGAGGTGTCATTCAAATCCCCTCGGCTTCCGGAGCCCCCTTTTTCCGAGCTTTGGTCGTCATCTTGTTCGGCCAGTAGCTCGGAGACGGGACGTGAGGCTAAGGCATGAGCCGCAGCTATCGGGTCAGAGTCAAGATCGCGCCCCAACTTGGCTGCATCCAAGGAGGCTCCTCGGGCTACACTTCCCAAGCTTCGAAGAGGGGCTTTTAGTCCAACCCTTCGGTCCAACCCGCGGCGGGACGTCGTACTCAAATCGGCTGCACTTGCACCACTCTGGCCATACATTGGACACTCTTTGTTAGTGCGCATGTGACCTGAACAGGGGAAGAGTAGGTAAAGGGATTTTTAGTAAAACGGAGCTCGGCTGTTATTGAGAGTGTGAAATGAACTCAGCTAACCTGTCTGGCCACAGGCCCCACAGCGCATTTTGACGAGGGCCGAAGTGAGTGGCTTATGTCGCCTCCGTCGATTTGGGTCACTACCAGCTAAGCCACCGGTTCGAAGAGGTGCATTTGAGGAACCACCTGCACCACGTTCACGCATCATGGCTTGCTGTTTCCGGAGACGACGGAGCTGATCCTAAATTATATTTAGAGAAAGATGAATAAGCAAAAGCGATATCCATACATTGCACAAAATAGCGGCTGAAGTACGTCACAGTCTGACGCATCAGATCTAGCGAAATAGCTCAAGACAGCTCCAGCGGCTTCTCAGACCTAATTTGAAGGGACATACAAATTCCGAGAGCTGTGTTTGAACACTGGGAAGGGGGAAAAGATAATTAAGCTTACTCGATACGTGATTCCTGATACCCAAGTTCTTGCATTCTATGACAAGTGAAACGATAAGTTAACCATCAGGCAGGACAGACGTCCATTAGAAAAAAACTCTAGGTTGTAAAAAAGACAGGTGATTTTCGAATCCAATGTAGGAATTAGGAAAGATGGCGATAGATGGAAGGAACTGACGAAGAGTTGGACGATCGGGTGAGATGACCATGGGAATCCATATAGAGATGTTACGTTACGGAAAATGGTGCTATTGTCAATCCGTATACGAATTTCCTGGATTTTGTTCTATTTACTTAACTTAAGCTGTAAAGTCGAGAAGTAGTGCGTACGTGTTTCGCCCTTGTTGGAAATCATCAGTAGCGTAAGACCCTCCAGAAAAGGAGGGGCTAATTCGAACACAATCTTTGGTGGATGGGTTGAACTGGTGAGCCTGTGAACTATTCATGGTTAGTCAGCAATTTACATTAACCTACATAAGTAAAAACATAACATCTACTCTGCTCAAAAGACGTTTCGAACGGTAGTAATCGAAATAAATTAGACGCTCTCAGAAGGCGAGTCTGTTTTTGAGCAGTGTGAGAACGGGGAAGTGGAGAAGTGCAGCTGTCCTCATCGAGATATAGGTCACTTATTGGGATGCCATGTGGTCTTTGAGGGGAAACTGGCACTCTACTGTTTAATAATGGTAGGAGTTGTGCTAAACTTGTTTGAAAAACATATTATTCAATCATTTTCTGTTCAGTCTAATGTCGTTATACCTGTCAGCCCCTCGTTACATGTGGCCACCCACGGAACAACTCGGCTGTAACGCCGTTCTGTTTTCCAAAATTCGTCAAACGACCTATACCTCGATTTTACGTCCAAAGATAACGTTGAATGGTTTGTAACTTCGAACTGAAAGGTATCTGATCAGTGAATACATGTCTTGGGGCATGATGTCATTCATGTAGGTGGAATGCACATGCTAACGGATGGTTTGTCAGTGATGGAAACGGCTTTAATCTTGCCTCCTTATCGAAAACAAACAGAATAATTTCAGCCCAACAAGAATGTCGGAACCAGCAATTTGATCACCAAAGTTTTGTGGACACTCGATCATCTGCCTCGCTGTACTACCAATCCCCGAATCGCACGTTCCTATCAGGCGTACCTAGTTGAGGAGTTCCCCGAATACTTTCACAAACCCACAAGTTTGGATGCAGAGAACATTTCAAGAGAACACCATTAGAAAGATTCTTCCGTTACAACTAACGTTCCGTTGTAATAAAGCTTTTCACCATTTCTAATCAGTCGATTGCAATGAAGATGTGCTGTGTAGGCTAACGTGCTCCCATGTTCTCTAGACCGATAAATTTCGAGATAATAGTATACCTGTGTGAAGATGTTTTTCACGCAATCCATTTCTTAACAAAAATTAATCGAATACCTCTAGTTCTTCGCAAGTGCACATGCTTATATGGTTTCACTATATTTTGGGTGTTAACAAAGTAGTCTAGGCAGTTTCTAAGTTCTCAATTGGACCTCATGAAAAGCTGATCTGCACTGTGAAGTCCTAACATTTCTCCTTATGGACTTTCCGGACCACCCGTACTCAGGGTAGCCCCAGTCCAAAAAGCCTGTTAACGGTGGGATAACCCCTGGGGAAATGGGGACAAATGCTTAACAAGTTTCCGCATTGGTCTTCCTAATTAGCACGGAGTTGCCAACGTTACACAACAGATGGACAGAAGCGTATCTTGGTTGGGTACAGTCACTATTGAGACCAACGACATGCCGGTTGAAATCTCATAGCAATTACGTTCTGTACCGTAAAAAATAATGGTGCGAATCAACGATTAAGATAGGAGCAAAGACCATTCCTTGCAACGCTTAAATGCAACTCAACCAAGAAACGGGTGAGTATGGATGGCATACTTCGCTCCCCTCGAGGTAAACGGATTCGAACAGCTGTTCTCTTGTACGCAGGAATGAAGTAAGCATTTCTGAACAAAATTTAGAAAAAAGAAAGCAAAACGGCACTTTAAACCAAACCGTTAACTCACTTGTAAACGTCGCTTCTCTTTGCGTTGCTGTTCTTTAATTTGATCATCTGAGTCGACGAAGTTGTGTATGAAGTCGTCATCTCGGGTTTGACGTATCTTCAGATAGATTTCGACCACTGGAGACCAAGGTACCAACTCAGTGCGTGTGTACTGCTGCCCATCCTCGGAGTAGGTTCGCATGATACGCAGCAGTTTACGAGTTGCACGGGGCCATGGCGGCGGGAGATCCAAAATCGTCCCGGCTGCAGCTGAACTGGCCTCGTATATTGTGTTGTTGCCTGCTGGACCGCCAGCCCCGTCCCCCGGCTCATTGAGATCCAGACCGCTTGATAATTTACCTACAGTGTCCTTCGGCCGGGGACCGGCAGGGTTCGTTTTGCGTGGGCGTTTACTACTCAGTATGGGTTCCTGGACATAGAAAACCGAAAAAATGTACACCTGTTGTTATGAAAAGATGACGCCGTGACCTTGATGTGTATCGTCAATAAAGGCCAGGACGTAAAGACGAACAAACGCCAATCCAAAATGGAAAAGCTCAAACTTGGGTAAAACCTATAAATCACGGGATCGATGCTTGAGCGACTATTTTGAACGCGATTAAAGGTCGAAGGAAAAAATGGCTAAAAGCAGTTACATCTTTTTATTTGATAAGGTGGCTGCCGGTGGGTGTACTAAGGTCTGATAGGTCGCGAAGCACCTGGGAAACTCGGCAATAAGAGGTCACTATCCTGAAGACAGCATAGTAGCACCCTCCTGTCAACCACAGTGTAATATGACCTCTGTTTGGTCACTATACTTGGATTTTCGGATACTTATTTATATATACGTTTCTAAACAAACTGTGGATTGTTTTGGGCACAGACTACATCTTACTTAAACGCATATCATTTAAAGTATAACCTCACAGTTTGACAATGAAGAGACGAACTGAACGGGCCGTGAGGAAAGCGTCACGGGATCAACTGGCTTGGTGGCTATGGTCATGGATGACCGAAGTTGTTAGACACGAACACCTACAAATCAGCAGCCAGCTGCCATACTCTGTACGCAATAAGCCTTAATCATGAAGAGATAAACAGTGTTTTTCCAGTGAAGGCGTAAAACACAATCAACCAACTTATTTCCACCGCACATAGTTAATCAGTAACTTCGGTTGTGAAGTGACAGCTGGCAGGCCATACGATCGATTCGGTGGCAAATTTGACCGCGAATCCGAGACTAGAATAAAACCATCCGCTCAACACATTTAAAAAACACGTCTTCCCGTGTGAGGTGCTTACTGAATTACTTTTCGATTGTTTATGCCGCCTCCAAAGCTCTCTGAACCTGGAAAACACGTCTATGGAGGTTACATTTTCCATATCCTCAAAAAGTGTTCCTCTCCGTAATCTAACATAACAGCAGCTGAAGAGAAGAATTTGCAGTTAGTGTATATTATTAGGCCGGAATCATACATTTTGCTTGCGACTAGCTATAAGCGATTGTACTCCAACCTCCAAGTTCCCGTAGGTGCATACTTACACCGAGTCCCATTTTCTGATTAGGCCCTTCTTTGGTGAACACGTAGTCGCCAATTTAGTAATCGGCACAAGTTGCACCTAAGCCACCCTGACCTTCAAACGCAAATGTGGCGCAAAGTTCATGACCCATTTGGTTCGATTGTCTCTAAATGTCTCTAAGTGATCCACACCCAATTTACCTAGTGTTTAACGGTCTTCATGGAAAACAACTGCGCATCTTATTCATCAGGTTCCAAACGATGTCCAAACACCAGACCGATACAGTATAGAATTTAAAGTGTGGAGGACTTATTTGACAGCTCCTATTCAGTTCCACAGGGATGTAGTACTTCTTGTGCGAAAAGTGAGGCAAACTGATAGAAATATTGCGTAAAAGTTTTTTATTTGTTTAAAAACCCAAGCAGGGTCGCCAGCAATAGGGAAGTACCTCAAGGTGACACTGGATTGATTGGCAGTACGCGGACCTACGAACCCTTGAAGTTCGAATGCACAGAGCTGTGAGAGAAATAGAAGCCACTGGAGATCTCAGTGCGTATAGTTGAATTAAATACTTAGCCGAAGGAAAGTGCCGTACTGGATGGTAGCCCATAATAAATTTTGGGATATACTACTGCCATTTTAGTAGTAGACGGATATGTTGCCACGTGGAAGAAAGTCGCTACCGAAAGCTGGAGATTCAAACATGGTCAAAAAAGTCTCCTGAAATTCAAAGGCGTTGGCTAGGAAAAGTCAGTTCAAACAAGAATATTCATTCGCACCCCCGTTGAGCTTATCATACTTGTTCAAATAGCGTTAACAGAGCTCAACAACTGGACGGAAATTGGAGGAAAGAGTTATGAAACAACGAACGGAGAAGGGTATATTGACATAGGTTAGTCGATTGTTCCGACTAAAATAGAAATCGATAAAAAGCTGTAAGGTTGCTGTATGCCTCGAGTTGAGAGTACAAGTGTAGGACTAGCATGCGACTAACAGCTAACTATTGGGTTATTGTACTTGATAATTCACGACATTCAAAGGTGTGTCCCAATGGGAAACCGATGGGCAACAGTAAACAAAGCTGTCAAAACCCACCCCAGATTCAAGAGCACGCCTTAGCTTTTCACGCTCCGCGTCTTCGCGATGATCTGTTTCGGTGACGGATGGTCGTCCGACGATCGAAAACGCTCGCGCAGATGCAGACAAACTCGATAATCTGACCCCACCAATGGAACTCGCGCCGCCTCCAGTTGCACCAGATGTTGATGCGCCACCTCTACCACCAAGGGCGTCTCCAGCTTCTTCGTCTTCCTCCTCACTACTAACTTCCTCGTCAGAACTGAGTAATTCGTTGTTCGACAGAACGCGATTTTGGAGGTCGAAAATACGTTGGCATTCTTCTCGATAGCAGCGAACCTGCTCACCCATCGATAGGCGATTACCCCGGGCAAATTTAGCAGAACTCTCTTCCTCACCCTGTTTTGCCCGTTCAGTGGAAGCGAAACGAACCATATCAATAATTTCCCATCTAAAAGGGGAAAGCAAGAGTCATAGTGAAGCAAACGACCATAATCAGGATAAAGGGAAGCAATGTGATTATGGTGAAGACGGCTCTTACCGCTTGAATGTTTTAAGATCAGCTTCACTTATGCCGAACGAACGCAATAAAGCCCTAGCATCTCGAAGATGTAGTTTACGTAAATCTGCATCAGTACCGGTGACCGTGCGCTTCCCTTTCAACAATCCACGGGCCACTTCACCTCCGGCCTGACGGAACAAAGCACCAGGTTTGGCCGAAGTCTTCGAGTAGGAGAAGGCCTCACCACAGCCGGTGGGATCAGCTGCACCGTGGAGCTCCAGAAAACAACCACCGCGTTGGGAGGCCAGGTAGGCACGGGTCGTGTTCCAAGGGGCAGCCCGGACTTCATCTTCCATTTTGGGCTGATAGGTACAAAACGCAACGATGTGGTAAAAACAGCGGTGTTGATGTGGCCCTGGTGCAATAAAGCCATAGCATTTTTGCTACTCACAAGTAGTGTAAATGGTAAGCGAAATTCATCACGATGGATTACTCGGAGCCTACCTGACCCTCCTTGTCCTCTTCCTCTTCCTGATTTTCATCAAAGACAAAGAGCGACTTTTCACCGTATCCGGCATCTTTTAAGCGCAGCTCGGCGGCCAACATGCTGTAGTGGGCACAACAGTCCTCAGGAGTTACCAAATACCGAACTTCCTCCTCCGACGGCAAACGGTAGTCATTGCGAAGGACCCACCAACTGGCATCCGAACCTAGGGGTAATAGAAAACGGCATTGTAGAGAAGCCTCATACTGGAACCTTACGGTGACAAAGTAGTCATCCTGGAAGGGAGAAGTACTGGTAGCAGTGGTCTAGCAACTAGATACTGAAAGGGGTTACAAGTAAACGATTTCACTGTGAGAGAATGATTAGGGACTGTAAAAAAAATAACACGCTGCAGGAATGAAACATATAGTGTCGTGTGCAGTGTCAGGACCGAGAAAGTCGCTTTTCTGCTTTAGTATAACACGCTCAGGAATGAAACATATAGTGTCGTGTGCAGTGTCAGGACCGAGAAAGTCGCTTTTCTGCTTTAGTGAACTACATGATAGGAAGGGAACAGAAAAAGGGATTCAGAGGTCCTTTGAAATAACGTAAGGAAGATAACAGTAATGATGTTGATAGAGTTCCATCCATCCACACCATCTAGTACCATACGATCCAAACAGATGCAAATGGGTAGAAATGAGAACACAAAGATAAGGTGGGGAAGTCACCGCGGGTCGCGACGTTGTTTTGCCTTCCACTGAAAAGTGAATTCTTCTTGGGCGGTGATTTTTATGGTGCTTCGTTGACGTTACTGAAAAGTGAAAAAAGTATAACCTAGGAGGAGCGACTCCCGGGAAGCGATCTGGTGCTCTTTGATTGAGAGTCTTCACTATCGACACATCGCGACTCACAACGGGCTTTTATGACATTCATCAAAACTTGTGGCTCTTGATTCAAAGCGGGCCATCTTACTGTATAGGCTGAATAGCTTCTGTTTACGTTAGCCATGGGTGTAACAGTTTCGTTTTCAAAAGCGGCCCCTTCAAGATCTTCACTCCTCTCAAAATTACTTGTGCGAAAGCGACGGTGCAATCTAAAATGGGCGTACCTCGAAAACCACCCATAAAGAATCGCCTCCTTATTTTCAAAGGTACACATTCAGAAGCCTATTTCTTAACACAAGTTTGCGTCACCTCTTCCGAAAACGGCCTCCCACGTCGATTTCGGCCAAACACTGACAAACGAAAACCTGTCTACAACCTGAAGGTCATCACCGGCCACCACCAGTTGATACATCACTCACGGAAACCATTAACTGACATATGAATCTGTTAGGATGAGTGTGAAAAACAGTCCAGAACAAAAGGGGTCTAGTCCAAGTGTAGGAGCGAACAAAATCTACAATGAGGTTGAAAATACTCGACTCAAGCCACCTACCAGTGCGTCGAAAATCCGCGCAAACCTTCAGACGTTTTCGCACACTACTCTCCGAATGATTGGGAAACGCCTTGCGAATCTCCTCTATTTTGATCCTCTTCGGCTCGTCTGTGCTGTGCAAAAACAGTCGAAGGATAAATACTTGGAGAAAGTCCCTCACAAAGTTGTTAGCACGTTTTGAGTTTGGTCCGGGTACTTCCATCAGGGGGATCTCTTGTCCCACAGTGAATATGTCTTTGATTCGCCTGATGCTTATTCCGTTTCGATTGCGGATCAGGAGGAAATCAGTGTTAGGCATGGTGTGTGGATAGATGGGTGCGCGATACATGTTGTTTTCCAAAGTCTACGAAAAAAAAGAGTGCAAAGTGAACAGAGAGTTAATCGCGATAGTGATGCGAAAGCAAGCACAACGCATTATCGATGGACAACGGCAATTGCATCTGTTGTTTACCGATTGTCCTATCTCAGATCCGAGCTGCCGTAATTACTGGCACAAAAAACAGGAGCCAACAAGACCTGACCGAATCACTAGGTTGATGTCAGTCTTTTGACAGTGGTATCAATGATGAGTGAATACACCTTGGAGCAAGATACTCTATCTAATAGGAGTGGAAAATGACATTGTGGCTTACGGGGAACGTGGGGCGAAAAGGACTAGGGTAAATCTGAATTCACAGCATTCGAAAACCATGAATGATCACATGATAATAATCCTTCAAAAATACCAGTGAGGAGAGTGACCAAAAGTTCCAGCTCCCGTTGCGAGGAACCAGAAAATACCTCGAAATAGACTGCTACTGACTTATTGGAGTTATACACTCATTTGCAAATTCACTTGATGTTAACGGGCTGAACACAAGTAATTTTGGCATAGGCACAAGTTATTGCAACAGATGGCTGAGTTTCAAGGTATAGAGTGAAGTCTTTCTGGGAACTAAACTGCTGTAATCCGAGAAATACGCTCATTTTCAAATCAATTTGGTTTCCACGAGAGACTCAACTGAATCTCTCGTTTGTAATTCTACAACTAAATGTGTAATTCTCGAAAACAGTCCAATTTGGGTTCAAGTAGAACATACGGTTGACGGAAAATCGAGGACAGTGCCTACCTAATGAGCCCAAAAAGGGCAAGACCAGTCGTGGGCTGTCGAAGAGTCTTCAGCAACCTTGTGAACAGTTTCCTTTATGAAAATATACTGCGATATCTCGAATATCGTGCCAACTAAAACATGAGGCGGCCTATGTGCAGCACATTCAGTTGCAGAATATCATAAACGAGAGATTCAGTCAAGTCTCGCGTGAAAACCAAATTGATTTGCAAATGAGTGTATTTCTCGAAAACAGTCCAATTTGGGTTCAAGTAGAACATACGGTTGACGGAAAATCGAGGACAGTGCCTACCTAATGAGCCCAAAAAGGGCAAGACCAGTCGTGGGCTGTCGAAGAGTCTTCAGCAACCTTGTGAACAGTTTCCTTTATGAAAATATACTGCGATATCTCGAATATCGTGCCAACTAAAACATGAGGCGGCCTATGTGCAGCACATTCAGTTGCAGAATATCATAAACGAGAGATTCAGTCAAGTCTCGCGTGAAAACCAAATTGATTTGCAAATGAGTGTATTTCTCGAAAACAGTCCAATTTGGGTTCAAGTAGAACATAAGGTTGACGGATGATGATGAGCCGCAAGAAGGGCGAAAACGGTCTTGGGCTGTCGAAGAGTTTTCAGCAGCAACTGCTGTAACTCTGTATCTCTTGTCCGTCTGTCTGGCAGCTCGAAGCTAACAGCTTGTGTTTGTTGACATAAAGCTACTTATGAGACCAATGATACCTATTAGATAGCCAAGTCTATCTCTCCCCTTTTAGGGCTCACCCAGTACACGTATAACTCAAGTTAAGCACAGTCTCATGTTCTATCAGAACATGAAGTCGATGCAGCTTCGGAACTACGCCTATCTGGTAAGACCCAAGAAGGATGAAGTCGCTGGTATACTGTGAAAGTTTTCAACAAACTGTTGCCTGAAAAAAATAGACTTCGGTATCTCGAATGTTGTTCCCATTTAAGGCAGCCTTTTTTAGCCTATTCAGTTGCAGACCGTTGTAAAAGAGAAATTTAGGTGATGATTGGTTGAGTCTTTCATCAACACTAACCTGAATTGCAACTGCGTAGCATTGCACAGGTTCCAAAAAAGGACCAGCAAACAGTTTGAAGGCGTTAAGAGCAAATCCAGCCTGGGTTATCCAAATCAACCCTTTATACAGTGGTCCTTCCGGTCAAAGAAAAGCAGTTGAACGAACTGTTTGGTCAGCTTTTGGTCTATGCAGAAAGTAATCTAACCAAAGCATAAAAAATAGTTCAGCTGTAGCACCTTTTCAGTACCTAACTGCCATGCCACCAGAAGGAAGCACGAGGGCTGGCATACTTCCAGGTTGCTCAAGCCTAGACAAGGGACATCGAGATGCGGAAATCGGTTTCGAAACACGGACCTTCCGGTCAGTTAATTCGCGCTCTAACAACTAAGCCATCTCACCCCCGAACCGAATTACAGACGAAAGCGGTCGCTACCGTAGTAGTCTCTGTAAAAATTAAGTTCAAAGGAATCGCTAAAAGGCTGGTGTTCTAATCCGCAAAACAACTCCAAAGAGGAACAACTAAATATCCATCTCCGTGAAGATGATATACTGGTATGGAAAAGGTATTACTGATCACAGTAGCTTCTATCCTCGAGAACGCCTTAGACCAAGTCTTGTGAGCTTCTTGCGCCCAACAGAACTGAGCGGTTCCGTGGTACTGAACTGGCTTCTAATAAATAAATTTAACTTGAAGTTCACTTTCTATCTGACTGCCCTGAATGAATAACAAGGTGTGTAAGAATAGATGATTTGTTGGTGCGATGGTGAGATGACGACCTCATTGTCCAACAGGATGCAAAAGACAGACGTAATCTGTGAAAGAGTTGATAAGAAACCCGACTGAGAACTAACAACTTATTTTGCTATATCTGTGAAGGAAACGCCTCCCGAAGGGATTACTATGAACTGAATTAGCTGAGCGGTGACCGAGACCATTTAACTCCTGTAGGTCGGTATCCAGTTGGCGGTTCATGCAATGGAAATGGGTCCGGGTATAAAACGGTGAACACTACACCTACGTTTGCTCTTACATTGTTACGCGGAATTGTGAAGCAATGAAGAACAGTACGGAGTCGAGGTGTGGTGGGTAGAAGGTCTTTATTGGAACACTCCAATACATGTATTCTTACAACTCATGGGATAAGAGAGCGACAACCCAAAGTACGAGTGGTTCGGAGTGGCGAACCGTATCATACCCACATACGCTGAGTGGTGATATGCAAAACAGCGTAAGCTGCCTATTAGTGTCGTGCCATACTGATTAACAGCCTCTTGTTGATGAGCTCTGTGTGACTGACAGACTGATGAGCAAATTACAGATGCACCTCAGAATTTACCTGCAAACCGACAGACAGATGCACCTCAGAATTTACCTGCAAACAGCCGCCAGGGCGTATCACACCAAGGAACGGGCTATCGGTCCCAGTGACGTAAACCAAGGAGCCATAAGGTAGATTCGGCGGATCACTGGAAGCATGAGGAGCCGGTGAAAGAGCACGATCCCTTGGGTACAACGGCCGATAGTAGTTGATAATTCTAGAAGCCATACCAATCTGGAAGTGAAAAATTAACAAACAGGCGGAGGATAAGGTGAATTGATGAAAAAGGACATTGACACATAAAACTTCTGTCAATATTTCTGGAAGTTGTTTTGTTCTCGTTATCTAAATGAATTCGCGATTCAAAACAAGTCCAACTGTCTCGGCTATGTCGGCCGATGTGTCGGTATCCCTCGTTCCCTTGACTTGATTCAACTAATCTTTTGATAACAGCGGTCCGGATGTGTAGGGCCATATGAGTAGCAACTAGGAATAGGTGAACCGGTGGGGAACACAAAAGTGCTCCCGTTTTATGAGTGCCAGATTATCAGTACCAATGAAGTGAGGTGGGGCCATAGAGTCTGTTTACATACTACTTGAAAAGTCAGTCCACACGATAACATAATCAGCATCCAGCGTTATGATTGTTAGATAAGAACTTTGCGCAGCTATTCAATGAGCATGCAGTGTTGATATGCATATAACTAGCGGGTCCTAGACAAGCAATGATAATAATAAATAACCGCAATTAGAATGCTGGTAATAACCATGAAATGTGCATATCAATCCATCCGAACAACGGAGCTAATGGCAATTCCAGAAGGCGTCGATAGATACGTTTGAAAGTCAGGCAACAAGAAAGTCTACACATGAGGCTTACCTGTGTCATCAAAGGTGGATATTCCTCCGAAAATTCACACAGGACCACGTCACCGTCTGTTCCGGATAAGTCAGCGGGAGTTCGCATGAAAAAGATGTCTCCCCCACCGGTGGCTGCTTTTTCTTCCTCACGTTCTCGTGCCTTCCGCTGAATTTGTCTTATCAGGTTAGTGACTGGGAACGGAATGTTGTACTGAGCCATTGGACCACGAAGGTACCTGGAACGGAGCAATATAGTATGACGAAAAATTGTATCATTTGAGCAGTATCAAGAAACCGTGCTATCTCTCCCGAGTATCTATCGTGTGCAGCTGAGATAAGCTTGCCGACTTAAAAAATTCGATGACTGAAGTCAACTTATCGTTTTTGGCTCTGGAAGTGCGCAATATCATTCTAGAGTGAGAACAGTAGCAACGAAAAGAGAAGGCTGGTACATATATGATGTGGATGGTTCAAGGACGAAGTTGGCTGCATGTCATTGTTAAAGTTCAACTTCGAAGTGTGCTAGAAACTGCGCGTGCACGGGGTGTGAAGTGTGCCTCACATTAAACAAGTCAGCTTAGGAGTCAGTTGGCAAGTTGAAGATCCCCTGTGTTGTGATAAAAGGTATCCGCGATCGACGAAACCTTAGTACATATCCTTCTGTGGTAGACCTGTAAAATATAGTAATAAATAAATCGCTTAGCTGCAACACCTTTTATGTACCTAGCCGCCATGCCACCAGAAGGAATCACGAGGGCTGGGATACCATCAGGTTGTCCAGGCCTAGACAGGAGAAGTCGAGATGCAGAAATCGGCTTCGAACCACGGACATTCCGATCACTAAATTCGCGTTCCAACCACTGAGTCATCCAGCTGGACACTGAGACCCATCACGTGCCATGTCTTGTAGGGTTGCCAAAACCACTGAGCCATATTGACCCCTGTAGCAACTTGCACGCAAGACGAAGGCCAGATGGACAATCAAATTGCGCATCCATTAGTCAGCACAGTGCAAACAATTACGGTGATATGGTTCGGGTTGAGTAGACTTGAGATACGTGCAAACTACTGACACGTGAACAGTTAGATATATTGGGAGCAAATTGGATGATTCGGCAAATAAATTCACGTGCAATGGCAAGATTCAGTGCAGACCAATCATGACACCACCAAACACTGAGTCGATGTACTGAAATGCCTAGTTCGATATGGGAGCATGCAAACGTGCTAGGTTTAACAATACATATTATCAGCTGACATGTATCAGACTAGGTGTGGCATGGGGAGAATCGTAACTACGAATTACCGTGCTTATATAACTACTCACCGCTTCAACGGAACCCGATGAAACTGACGTAGGCGAAGTGGGCCCATGTAGGTCGGGAAAAAGGGTGGCCAAAGTTCTACTGCAGGCGTGCTGTGTTGCAGAGGTCCACACCGAGCCAAGGCCCCCAGGCCACCGAGTGCACCACTTCGAATGGCATAGTACTCATCATTAGATAAATTCAGAGGGTCTTTTGGAGGGATACCAGAGACTGCAGCCGCTGCTGAGGCCAAAGCGTTACCATCCGTGCCCAGGTCTCCGGTTGAATCATTAGCCGCGTTAGAAGTGTTTTGGACATCAGAGGTGAATTTGTCCACATCTGTTTGCCAGTCATCTTCAGCCAGAAGCCCATGCTAGAAGACAAGGGATAAACAGGCGAGATGTATTCGGAAAAGGGAGAAATCGGTAGAGTAGTACCTTTATTCTTTTTTGCATAACAAAACGGAAAATCTCAAAGGAACGTAAAAAACTGATGGTTCGAGTAGGATTGTTCTGTAAAGCGAAAGGAAACTAGTCAGACTGAAATCTAGTCTAGCTCTCGGTTTGATATGTGTGGCGGAGAAATTGAAGAGAGTCAGTTTGTGATGTTCGAGATTTTTGAAGCTGCTACCACCATAATAGGGACCATACAGATACAGCATCCAGACCATATATCAGTAGAATCAGTCATCCAACGAACACACTTTACTCTTTTGGAAAAGCCCGACACAAAAATTAAGAAATGCACAACCGTACGCCTCAGAAGCTGACAGGCCTCACCTTCCCCAGTATCATTTTGACCTTCTCAGCACCATGTTCGGCTTTTGCCAGAGCTCCAGTTAGCATTCCACGAGTCGATGCTAGACCAAAACTAACTTGAAGACTAGCACGATTGAGTGGAGCATTGGACTTGGTGGTAGGCACCGAAGGATCCCCGTCCAGTCCAAAACGCACTGCGCCTTCCCATTGGTCATCTGAGTGCAGATCTGCTTGACTGCGTAGTCCTGAAGCAGCAGTTGCAGAACCCGGGGCTTCCTGTTCGTTGGGTTTATTGCTCATAGAATGTCGGTGTCGCTGACCTCGAACAGTGTTGATTGCAGCAGCGATGGCAACGTCATCGATTGATTCTAGGAGACAAGCTTCGTCATTATGATCCAAGGTGAGTAAGAAGGGTGGCGGAAGTTGGTCTGCCGGAAGATCTGAATCGTATATGATATCATGGACCCAGGAATCCGACAGGATGCCCTCATTTTCTGCCGGGAAAATTGCGTAAGGTGGATTGTGAGGTCTACAGGTGCCATCTCGACCAAATAACTGTTCCATAACGGGGGTGGCAGGGTTAAGTCCATTGATTGCCTTTGAACCGACAATGAACGGAAATTTGCCTTGGTACGTATCCTATGCGAGGGAAGGAATATAAGCAACCGACATTGATGCCCTGTGGCTAAAAGGAAACACGGTTTTGAGGATAGATTGTACGGTAAGGTGTAATGCAATACCTACAACAGCGGGCACTTTCAACATAGTGCCATTCTTGACGGAATTGGAGGAACGTTGTGGTCATAATGAGCTGATTCGGTATGAAGTAGAATAGACGCTTAGCAGGTCGGCATCCAGGAATAAATTATCGAAAACCAGCTAACTTTGAAATAAATGCAGACTGTAGATTTGCTATAGAAAAATCAATAGACAGCGAGGGAGAACAAAATCTGTAAACGGCAATTACGGTTTAACAGATGTTTCGATTCGTTCAGACTTCATTTCACTAACCTGTGAACCCCTTTAGGGCAGTTTACCTGGTTGAAAAACATACGTCAGAGTCACACCTATTGAAATGATAAGAAACGATTAACCAGTGAAGCGAATCTGGTCCTCGAGTGACAGGCTTGGTTCGGATTAATGCTAGAGAGAAGGTCATACTTTATATATATATATATATACATATATATATATATATATATATATATATGCATGTATGACAGTGCAGAAATAAGCAGCCCTATAGCTAGGAGGACAAACACAAACAGGTAACTGGCAGTTACGACATATGTATTTGGACCACAGTTGCTCAGGCATATCGGGATTTAAAGTCACGCTGGTGTCCTGAAATACCTTGTGCAAAGAACGATGAACTAAGACACTCAATACGGAGAATACCAAACCACCTGAAAGGCAGCCATCGTGCGACAGTGTTGAGAGGGTATCCAAACACAAACAGGTAACTGGTAGTTACGATATATGTATTTGGACCACAGTTGCTCAGGCATATCGGGATTTAAAGTCACGCTGGCGTCCTGAAATACCTTGTGCAAAGAACGATGAACTAAGACACTCAATACGGAGAATACCAAACCACCTGAAAGGCAGCCATCGTGCGACAGTGTTGAGAGGGTATCCAACCCGCATAGGCGGCGTTCATCTTGGAGGAAGCGCTGATCTTGTTCGTGTTCAGTTGTGGGTCGTAGATGATATCATCTTCCCAGTTGAGCAGCTGGTAAGGAAATACGGTGGTTGGGCTTGAATCACCATAGCTATGCTTCAATGGCGCGGGACCTTTGACTGGAAAATTATAGAAGGGGAAAATACCAATATAGAGTCGGTTGACCGATCATTCTAGTACGAAAGAGAACGGTGTTCTATCTAGGTTTTCTAGTAGCTCACAGTGAATATGTCAAATGACATAAAATTAGAAACTCCACAAGCTTTAGACCTTTCCGTTCGGTGCACTTATCACAACAATTAACATCGGAAAAATAAAAAAATGGTTGCATCCAGATTGGGAACCATCAGCGGAGCACATCTCACAAAACTCCAGGGAGTTTCGAACCCACAACAACTCGTTTGGCCACGAGAGGCTGATCAGCGGTGTGACTGATTCACTTAGACAGCATAGAGCGTCACTCAACCTTTAAATCACCGAGTCCACATGATGTTGTCACGTGTTGGCTATCTCAAGGGGTGACGACTTCTCAGATGGAAGATCCACTCATCCTCTGAGCTAATCACAGCTTGTCGGTACCAACAATAGCTGCAGCGTAATTAGATTTACTAGTTATGATTTTCGTGCCTGTCCTTTAGGTCTCCACCTGACCCATCCTAGGACATTTCCACCGAGTACGTGATTGAGAGGAAATGACTCTTAAGGAGGTTGGTCTGCTGACATGTGAATTAAGTGACGATACTTGTGCAGTTCCCCTACTCCTTGTGAACCACCTTCTAAAAAACCAGTCGAAATAGTTCTACATTCAAAGTTCCTCTCAGATGTGAAAACAACCAAGGGATACCGACTGGCCTGAGGCCTTTTAAAAATGCCAGGTTTTTTATGCACACAACGATACGGAGAACATTTAGCATCCAGACCCCGACTACCACATCACCAATCAGACTACTGTGACTGAAGGAGTCGTTAAAAATAGTCATCACATAGAGGAAATACCAATACGAAATACATCAAAGACAGCATCTATGTGAAAAATCAATAACCTCGTCACCACAAATTCGTGCCCAAGAAGGAAAGTATTTGGTCAAGGCTCTGAATTACGTCTGCCAGCATGAGAAGTGCAGTGGCCGCTTACATATTTCAGCAAATTTATCAGACTAGTTAAAAACGTTATCGTTGAAAGTCACTCACGAATAGCTTTTCAGGATATAGTTCAAGAGTGTGCCTCGACCGTTAGGTGGAATAGAAATGTTTTTTCACGTGAAACAGCGAAGTCCCCAAACGAACTGCTACCTAGCGAACGTTAGTGATAAAAAATTGTCGCCTTGGTGAAGACAAGAATCATGGTGGCAAAAAAGATTAAACGGTATTTTGAAAACGGATCTAAAAAGGTACCTGGTGTGAATGAAGAAGGTATTGGGCTTTCGGTTTGTTCTGTTGTTCTACCCTCCGAATTGGGAGGAATTTCGGTAGATTTCGCCTCGAACGAGGTGACATCTTGATTTTCTTTCGTTTCTGTTGATTCCGTTGGGCTATCGCCATTCGTCTCCTCTGATCTGATCAACTCATCATCAGGTCGACTAGGGGCTGCTGCAGTTGTCAGAGTTGAGGTAGCCGACGACAAATTTGGTCGCCGCCATTCGGTCCACTTGGAAATGTCCGCATCCAGAGGAATTCCCAACTGGTCGTACCAGTATTTAGCTGGGCCCAAACGCCAACCACGACGGCTTTGAATAAAAGAGATTATTAGGTGGTTTACAAATTCTCAACAGGTGTTGAACTGAGCCCCTATGTACGCGATTAAGTGAAGTTCATGTATAGCTAGACTGAAGTTCAGTGGAGCAAGGATTGATAAAGCCGAACCGCAAGGAGGATTTGGTGGTACCCATTGCCAGTAAGACCAATGTGTGGTCGACCTGATCGTCTAACTGCTACAGCTTCTGTTTCTGATAACGAGGAGGTAATTTGGTGCCTCATTACTGATTGGGGGCGGGAGGTTAACATGGAAGATGATAGCTCTGAGTTACGAGCGCCTCGTTATTATCAATCTTTCCCGGAGTGCTAATGGTCGCCTTGTTTGTGTACAGTAACAGGATCGAGTTATTGACTGTAGCCCTTAATGTGACCCCTGTCAATGAAGTCAGAGGCTCGTTTGGCTTACAATATGAGAAGGCTTCAGTTGGCCCAGGAACCTGGCGTGCAAATTATGCTCTTCTCATTAGTACTGCGCGTGATGTACAAAAAAAACTTGATGTTGGAGAGATAGAAGACTCCCAGAATCTTAGTACATATTCCTGATGGAAAGAGATAGTGATCATCACCATTACTCCCGTTGCCAGTGGAGAATAGGGATAATTTTGGTGAATTTCAGGCGCCTACATTTAAGCTTTACTTACCGAAGATATAACTGGGCTGCGGACTGGTGTTGAAACAAGCAGAATAATCGCATTCGGATTGGAAGATCTTTAATTACATAAAGCCAAAAGAATAACTAGAGGACTGAGCACTACGCCTAAGTGCAAGGGAAGCCGAAAGCGTACTAGTAACAAATCTCCAGCGAACTGACTTGATTAGGCTGTTTAAAACTACCTAAATGAGGGAAGTATAGAAAGAAATACACGGGGAATAGAAATTTAGTAAATCGGTGGGTGAATGAAGCGAATGGGACTCACAGATCTTCAGGAGTTAACGTCGAGGCATTATTTGATGACTCGCCAGCGTTTTCACCTGCATCGTTCCTCTCCTGTCCCGTTGAAGAGTCCCTGCCTGCGTTGGATCTACCCTGTTTATCAGCTTTAACTGGAGTCCTGGACTTGGAGGATTTACCAGATGGACCGTTCATTTCTGCTAGAGCGGCTGTGTACGCTCGTCGCCACCAAGACTTCTCACTGCCAGCTAGGCAGTCAGTTCCCGGTGGAAGAGGGGTGTTAAGTTCGACCACCTCGTCATGTTCAATTATCTCCTCGGGAAGAGGAACCATACCAAGATCGAGAAAACCATCGTAGACAAGATGAGGACTGGAAGCAAATAATCAGTGCACCAATGAACATGAAGGTATATGCGGTCACTGTTTGTGTAGAAGTCCTTGTTGTCTGAATCAATCGACGCAGATATCACGTTTTAAATAGGTTCTTGTACAACAAACTGATAAACACAGAGATACGGCATTATGGTCAGCATGTGCAGAGACGTCCGACTGGGTCGCATCCCTTACTAAGGGGAAGTCAACTGGCGTGTAGGCCAGTCTGATGAGTGTGTAAGCTGGAGAATCGCATTATGGGGGAGATGTTGGCAACTTGATCGTTCGTATATTCGACTTCCTGAATACGTTTGTTGAAATGGTTGGCGAGATAACAGTAAAAAAGGCTGTCGAAACCAGTTGAAAACTGGCGTAGATTTATCCTCAACTACTTGAACCTTTTTAGTAGTCCAGATTCAGCACAAATTCTAGTTGAGGGGAATCACCACGGTCGCCTGGACGCACCAGGACAATGGGAGTGACACTAATACATGCATGCAGCTTTATTCGCATACAAAGCCTCAGTGGACGACAGAGTGGAACTGAGTTCCATCCATGTGAGAAACACGCAGAAGTTATCCACCATGAGTGCATACAGTAATTTAGCACTGACGAATTTTTGTGAGATGCGCTGCTGAGTTCACCAGTCAAAGATACAGTTTACTTCATCGACAGTAAAACAAATGTGGAGGCAGGTGTAGGCATACAAGGCATTGACCATTTCTTTATGAAGGTAAAGTTAGCTCGGTGATTCATCTTTTGCTCTTAGAGAGACTCTAAACACGATGCAAACTGCGGATTGCATGGCGATACGTTATTGCAGGTGTCTCAGAAAAGAGAAATATTGTACTAGTATGCCCCTACGAGTACTGTGCACTTAAAAAGTGTTCAATTATAATATCCTGCGAGCCACCGGGATCAGGAAAATCGGCCAGTTGATCGTGTGAGGAAAAATGGTTGCCGACTCTCTGGGTTGAGTGCGTGAAGGGATCATCTGAAGGCCAAAGAATTTTTTTATAGCTATCAGACACCTTTGCCGACTCTCTGGGTTGAGTGCGTGAAGGGATCATCTGAAGGCCAAAGAATTTTTTTATAGCTATCAGACACCTACAGAATCGCTTAGCAGAGCACGAAAATAGCAGTCCGGTTGGGAATTGTGACCTTCCGTGATGATTTTGAAGCCATGAAATTTCGTTGCGTTTGTCGTGGTGTTTCCCATGAGGCACACAAGATGAACCCTGATGGCCTACCACCAAACGAAGCGCTACCGCATGAACACAAGGGCCGGTGTAACCATAACGATTGCGCAAACGTACACGAGGACAGCGCGAGTTGTCCTGATGGGTGTCTTGGCACCCATTTTGTTTAGGTGCATCTGGTTAAGAAAAGCACTTGTTCTTAGCACGCAAGTGGATATTTAAAAATCGTTTGTCCTGCGAGTTTAATTCAATCAAACTTAGCGAGTGCCTATAAACAATGGAAACAAATAGCCCCTTTTGGATAGGTAGCTTACAGGGAGTCTAAGATTATACCTGACTTGGGAGTGCAGTTATCTAACAAACATTCTAGAAGGGAATCTGATCAAGCAAGATCATAGCGTTACGTGACAATTTGGGGTAAGTATGCATTAAACCTACTGGAGAAAGCGAGGAAAGAGCTATCTATAGTAAGATTATTGGCGACTAATCCAAAGGCGTGATAGACGTACCGATCGGCGTACCGTGCCTGCCGTTGCTCTATCAATGTGTTCACATACGATGCGCGTTCAATAAATTCCCGATATGTCCCAGCGGTGTGAGGGAGACGGAAAATACTTCCCCACCTAGGAGTCCGAGTGGGATCATACGCAGGAAACAGCTCCATAATATCCACTGAGGCGTATTCCGGGGGCATCAAGCTTCCTAATGGTGTGTTCAGTAAACCCGAAGACTCGTACCCAGTAGTAGTTGGTGGAGGGCTGGCTGATGCAGAGTCCGACAACATGTCAGCGTTCGATGAGCCTAAATGATTGGGGGATTCTGCAGTGCCTTTGGAAGCCTGAGGAGCAAAGGGAGGGGTGGATAGCAGAAAATAATTGATAGAGTCACCGAGACGTGAGAGTAAAATAGAACCTAGAAATGCATGCTGCCCCTTATCTGGTCACAGAAATCGGGCGGTAGGAAGTACGAACCCGTCAAAGTGGTGAGGCAGTGCATAAACAAAAAATTCAAAATGCTTGTGGTATTACTTACCTTTCCTTGAAACTGGCGGGACGCCGCAATAGGTGCTGGATGTAAGGGCGGAGGCATCATATCAATATCACTTTCAGTGGCTAGACTCTGGGCTCCCGTGTTCAAGGAGATAGACGAAGAACCCTGAATTAAGTTTCCTGCATCTAAATTTTGCGACGTCACTGTATCCGGTTGCGAACTCGATGCTATAGAAGGCACAGCGTCAGTTTTGACATCCTCTTCAGAACCAACTAGAGGTGCATCCAAGAGGGTTTCAACCACCCCCTGGGGTTCTACAGTACCAGCTTCGTGCTTCCCTTCGTCTGAAGACTTTGTTGGTCCTGCTTCAGGTGAGTCGTAGTCCTCCTATGACAATGCATAAAAACAAGAGGACACAAAGAAATGGATGACACAGCGTGCAAACACCATGCCAGAGTACTTCTTTTTACGTTCAAATGGATGGAGAGAAGACTTTGGTTAGCTATCACATTTCTGGTTAATGATCCGGGAGGAAACGTACAGCTCGGCTGAGTAGCTGTCAGACGGACTGTTGTGAATCCTTCAAGAATCATACCTCTGAAGTTGTGGCCATCCCTTAATCTAAAACGCCATCCATTCGGGGAGACGGCCGAAGTGGTTAGAGCGCGAAATTACTGATCGGAAGGTTCGTGGTTCGAACCCGCCCTCCGCCTCTCGAGTTCCCCTGTCTAGGCTTGGGCAATCTGACAGTATCCCAGCCCTCGTGCAACCTTCGGGTGGCATGGCAGTTAGGCACCGGAAGTGTGCTGCAGCTGAACGATTAGGCAAAGCTACCATGGTTAGCGCTAATAACTGAAAGTACATTAGAACATTGTACTATACGTCACCAGTAAATATAGAGGAAAATGTTAAAATGATCCCAGCTGATAAGCATATGGAGATGCACACCCAATGTTAGATCTCATGGATACAGCACAGACAATAGTAGGAGGCAAAGGTTCCGGTCATGGGGGCCGAATGCACCCGTAGCTAAGGGTTTCGTAGTATAATCTAATTGAAATTGGTCAATTGATCCAAATACTATGGTGAAAGTACATTCATAACCTACCTCTGCAGCCTGGGCGTGTGAAGGCAAAAGATTCTCCTCTGGCTTCAGTTCACGAAAGCTCGACTCAAAAACGTAATCCGGCACGGTCTCCTGTTCATCATAGTAGTCTACGGGAGAAGGTATAGTGTTTATGGATGCCGTCTGGTCCTGTGCATCCTCAAGCAAAGACGGCTCTGAGGAAAGTACAACCTGTGCCGTCTCCTCAACTTCTTTGACGTGACATTGATCAATGTTGTTGATAGATTTGAGGTCCTCATCATTGGTGTACTCTTCGATTTGGCCTTGCAAGACGGCTCGAAAGTACAACCTGTGCCGTCTCCTCAACTTCTTTGACGTGACATTGATCAATGTTGTTGATAGATTTGAGGTCCTCATCCATCATGTACTCTTCGATTTGGCCTTGTTTGTCAACATTACCAAACAAAAAGCTGGATAATTTATACTTCGGACCATCTTCCTCGGTATTCTCCGCTGTGTCACTCATAACAAAACAGTATATAAATACCCATGCTGAAGGGGGTAAATGACGGAGAACACAAGTGGAGATTAGGTGAAATAAATAACAAAACGAATACTTCCTACGTAGTAGGGATATCGGACTGAACAGCAAATTCAGAACAACGAAGATCAGAATGGGTCATATACTCACTACATCAGCATATGGTAACCGGAAAACTGTTTTACTCGCTCAGCTGTCGCGGTGAGTTCAGCTGCGACCACTTAGACTGTTTTGTCAAGGAGCCTGTTTATTTGAGGCCACATGGACGTCGATCTGTGCCATTGTTGGTACATCCAAGGTTCCGCATTGCTATTCCACTGTTTACGAGTGTTCGCGCGGTTAAAAATTTGTCTTATAACTATTGGTAGCCATGGCAAAAAAACGACTCATTCATTGTGGCATTTTCTCACTACCACCAAGCAGTATGTCACGCA